AGGCGGGCAGGCATCCTGTTCCCAGCTCACCCCCATCAGCCCTCTGCTCCTCCCTCCCCCTGAGATGGCGCGGGTGGGGGCGGCGGGGGCAAGTGCCAGGAAAGGAACCCACCGAGCTGTCAGGGCCACAAGCACGTCCCTCTTCAGCACACCCACCACCCCAGCCTGTTAAAGTCACTGCTGTTGCTTCACCGTCACCTGGGTCACATAGACACAGACGGACACACAAAGCGTGTCCAGCTCCAGGGTGCGGGCGCTTCGCTCCCCACTGAGTAGGGAGCATCTGTCAGGGCTCAGATGGGCAACTGGGGGAACTGGGCCCCCAAGGACCAGCGACGCGGCCCAGGCCTCACAGCCAGTCAGCGCAGAGCCAGGACCGGAACCCAGGCCCCCAGGGAAGGGGTCAGGACGGTGGGGACCCTTCCTGCTTGTACACGATCACTACACCAGGTAAAGGACGAGAAGCTTAATAATGTCAGCCAAACGGCAGTTTTTTATTTTGATGCTCGTTGTCCATGTGATACACTATAAAAGCATCTGCTGTGTACCTGAGAATCAGACTTAACTTGGTAACCTGGGTTTTCAGTGGCTCACTCTGGCAACCCCATATTAAAAGGGTAGGAGAAGATGGCTTCTCTGCCGGCCACCAGGATGGAGGCCCCCGGTACCACCAGGGCCCCCCACGGCCTGCTCTCCCTCCCCACCCCCAGCCCTGCAGCGGCCTGAGGCGGGGAAGGCAAGAGGGTTCACCTGGAGTCGGTAGCAGCTCACACCCCACTTCAAGCTGACCCTCACTTTCCATCTCATCTTACGCAGGGACCCCCGCTTCAGGCACCCCCATCTGCCGGGGCTCGGCCCCATCTGATTCCACAGGGATGGAGTTCATAGACATCTGTCAGACCGCCAGAGTGCCCACATCTGACTCCCTCTGTGGCAGGTGGGAAACCGAGGCTGGGCGCTGGCCAGCCAGGTCCCTCGATTGCCGTGTTGACAGCCCCCAGAGAGCGAGGCTAAGGGCTCCTGTTGGCCCCCCACTGTCACCCCCCCCCCATCATCATCACAACAAACACAGGTCCCAGGTCATGTTCCAAGTTCTTTTCCTATTTCACCTCATTGAATCATGCCCTCACCACTCCCTCCTGATGCCAATCACCCTGGCTGGCACCCAGGACTCAGGCTGCCACACACCCCGCCCCTCGATCTTGATCTTGGCAAGTTTTGGGGGAGGCCCAGTTCCATCCCCGTGTGAAGCAACAGTTTGTTCTGACGTGCAGCTCCAGTCCCTCTCGGATGGCAGATCACAGAGCCGGGCTCGGAGCCTGGCCCGGAGGCTCGAGCGGGAGCCCTCACCCAGGGGCCCGGGGCCAAAGACCTGATCCCCGGGCCCAGAGCCAGCGCGGGTGGACCTGAGCCTGGTCCCTCCCTCCAGGCCCTGCAGCCAACTCCACTCACCTGGCTGTCAAAACAGCCTCCTGCCCGCTTCCTGCAACCTGCCCAAATTGTCCACCAACGCCTGCCCCATGCTGCCAGCTCCTCCGCCCCAGCCCAGCCCCTGCGCCTCTCGGTTCTTACCTGCGAACATCCACATACGTCTCCACTCCCACCACACACACGATGTGGGCTGGCTTCTTCAGAGACAGCTGCACGGTTCTCCGCAGGGCCATCCTGTCCTCCTGCTCCTGGCCTCTGTGCACCGGCTGCCCAGCTCCTCTCCTGGGCACCTTGTCGCCAGGAAGGAGCGTGAGCTCTGATGGGTCGGTGCTTCCCTCCTCCCTTTTAATTTCACCCTGTGACCTGATTAGCCTGCCTGAGCCGGGTCCCCACCTCCTGGCTTCATGCCCAACACTCCTCACTCAGGACTGTCAATCTGGGAGGCCTGGGGAGGAGGTGCCTCAGCCTTCTGGGGGGTGGGGAAGAGGGGCTTCAGTTGGGGGTGTTAGAAAAGGGCTTAGCTGCCAGCAGGTGCTTAGGTAGCTCCCAGCAGCCCCAGCCACTCCACCCCACCCTCCAACCCCCATGTCCCGTGTCTAGTTTTGCCTCTTTCCCTCAGAGTCTTGGTGCCCAAACTCACTCAGCATCAGCCTTTCCTGAAGACTGCTGTGCGGGAGCCATCGATCTTATCTCATCTGCTCAACAGATCTGATCGCCTGCAAAGCGCTCTATCGCTCTATTAGCACAGTGCCATCAGACTATGGGGGTTCAGATCCCAGCTCTGCCTCTTACCACCTGGTCTAGGCACATTTGAACCTCTCCATGACTCGCTTTCCCGAAATGTAAGATGGCAGTTAGTACAGTTCTTGTCTATTGACTTGGTGTGGGCATTGTGTGAGCATAGGAGAGTTAGCACCATACTTGACACCGGATATTCAGTAAAAGAAATGCTGGCCCTGTTCTGCTACCCTCATCATAGGGAAGAGAATCGGGGTGCAGGTCACACTGCTGGTAAGTGGGAAATCCACAGCTCCTACCTACACCCCCCTGACTCACCACACTATTCCATCCCCCAAAAGGTGAGGTGGGGGAAGTCACCCTAGGTGAGTTATCTTGGCTAGTAGGGAGGCAGGGTCCTTGAAAAGAAACTCAGAGGAGTAAGTTGAGGAAGGCTAACTCATTTCTGAAACCACCCTCTTCCTTGTAGCTCTGACAACTCGTAGCTTCTGGCCTGTTCTCAGGGTATTTGTAGAATTTCATTCTTTCATTCGACAAACATTTTTTGATTTCCTATACTGTGTTAGGTACTCCTGTAGGTTTGGGGGATATAGCCAAACAGACCAGTCTCTGGGGAGCCAGGTGATTAGGAAAGCCACATAGATCAAGCGGGGGTCACACCCTTAGCACAACGAGGGTTGAGGTTCGACCCACCATCAGGAGGGGGTCGGCCCGTGAGCGGGAGGGGGTCAGCCCATGAGCAGGAGGGGTCCTGTAGGTAACGTAGAAGTGACAAGTGGTTGTCTCCTGAACATATCTTAACGGTGGAGCTGAGAGAGTTTGCTGGTCAGCTGGAAGTGAGTGAGAGGGAAAGCGGCATCATGGGTCAGTGGAATGTTCTCGGTCCCAGCAGCCAGAAGGACAGAATTGTCCTTAGAGGGATGGAGAGGGCTGGGGAGGGCAAGCTGGGGCAGGGGTGCAAGATTCCGTGCTGCTCCTATTAGATGTGAAACATCTGCCAGACCTCTGACAATGAATTTCAAGTCCCAAGTTCCTCCATGGTGGTATCGGGAGTGACAAGGAATCATGGGACCACAGGGTCTTCTTGGGAATCCTCCTCAACCACAGGGTTTTCTCACCCTAGGCAGCCGTTGCAAAGAGTGGAACAAGTAGAACCCCCACATCCATACTCCTGGGGAGCAGAAGGGGGTGGCAAAGAGAGAGTGGGAGAGTCAAGAAACACCTTAAGTTTCATGGGGCAGGACAGGGACAGTCTTTGTCTCCAGGAACCCCAGTTTGGTTGGGAGGGGGAGTAGGAAACATAAAAATGGCTAAAGCTTTTAGTTGGTTACTTTTAACTTTGGAGAGCTTTCAGAATGCTCTTTGTTGCTGCCAACATCCAAAATGTTCTTGATATGCAAAGTTCTTGGCACTCAAAGATCCCAAGGCAAAGTCTAGGTTTATCCCCTGGATATAAATCCCAGCAAAACAGCCCTTCAGGGATGAGTAGTTTCCAGCACCCCATTAACCAGACCTGAGCCACGAGTCATATGCATTGTGAAGTGCAATGTCAAGAGTAGGTTCCCAAGGAGCACAAGGGTCTACCCCATTAGAGAAGCATGGGTGGATGGTTGAGGGATGGATGGATGGGTAGATGGATGGATGGATGATAGACGGGTGGGTAGGTGGACGGGTGGATGGGTGGGTGGACAGACAGATGAGTGGATGGACAGATAGGTGGGTGAAGTAATGGATGGATGAGAAAGGGGGGAAAACAGGTTGGTGCAAAGATAATGATAATGGTGATGGTGGTGGTAGCAATGGTGAGGAGGAGGAGGAGGAGTTACTAGCCAGCACATGTACGGGTCTCCCCCTGTGCTGTACTCACTTTTCTAACCCTCCCAACGATCCTAGGTCTGGAATCCAAGTTCAAACAGACCACAGCATGAGTGGGCAGGAAGTGCTTTTTGTGGGTTGTGGGCAGAACCAGACCCCTGGGAGGTCATGGTGTGTTAAAAGTCTTGTTCTTACAGCCAGAGGAAAGGGGGGGGAGTGCAAGGAGGCTGGGGGATGCCGGTGCACTCCCTTTCCAGATGAGGAAACCACTTCATGGACAAGTTCAAGGGACCCTCTCAAGGTCCGCAGCTGGGAAGTAGTCAAGTCAGGACTTGAGCCCAGGTCACCTGATCTGGATGGGCTCGTAATTGTCAAGTACATCCCCAGGAGGTGGACTATCCTTTGACCTTCTTCCTCATACTTTTGTATAGTGGTTGGTTAGTTTTTGTGCGTAAATCTTGCACCGTTGGGGAAAAAATAATAGTCTCTCTTTGAGGAAAAATAAGAAGAGTTTCCTTCTCTCGGCCTCCAAAGCCTCCTCCCACCCGAGAACACTCTGTCATTTGCTCTGGTCTTCCTTCCTCTTTCCTTCCGCTCGAACATTCTTTTTAAGACACCATGATCTGCCCCAGCCCCTGCCCTGCCCTCAAATCACAAAAGGTACACCCTATACTTCTATTCTGTGGTCTCTTTGAACTTGGGATTCCAGGCTCAGTTGGTCAGATTTGGGAGGAGTGAGGGTGGGGGAACTAGATGACGTCATTGCCCCTTCTCCCCTCTGGCAGGTGGAACTTCACCTGGGAGGACCTGCTCTCATGAGTTTCACATGTCCCCTCAGGCAGAGGGAACAGTCTCCCACCACTGCTGGGGGGTGGGGTGGGATCCTGGCCTCTACAACCCCAGAACGTCTCCCGAACAACCACAGACACAAGAGTCAAGAGATTGTTTATCGCCGATATAGCCATGTCCAGGAGTATTTTTAAACAATGCTTTGAATGCTAAATGTGTGTAGACAGATGACACAAATATATGAAGCTATGGAACACCAGGCAATAGGGAAGAGTGGCCATCGTGGCAAAGGGCAGAGAGTCTACTTGGGTTCAAACATGAACATTCAGTATTTCCTAAGAACAAAGCACGAGTCAAGAAAAACCAGTTTGTAAGTTAGACATGCTCGTTGGGCCATTCACTTGAGACCCCAGCCTTGACTATTTATGGGAAGGTGGGTGAGGAGGGTGGCGGAGGAAATGACTGTCTGGGGAAGTTATTTGATGTCCACAAAGATAAGCTACCTGGGCCCAGGTGAGCCTTCGCACCATCAGGCATGAATTCTACCTGCCTCAGGCTTCAGCATGGGTTCTGGGCTGCTCCCAGGATTGCTGAAGTACCTGTGGGCTCTTCTATTTTGGAGGAACCCTTTCCGAGAACACATACAGCCTGTGCCTGAACTTACCTAGGATAGTGTGGAGGGAGAGAAGTAGGGAGGGAGGGTGAGAGGCAGGGAGGGAAAATCACCAAGGCCCAGATCTCGGGACCCCATACCCAGTGGCCCTAGGCACTGCAGAGACAGTTCTCCTGCTCTCCAGATTGCCCAATTTCAAGCTGAAAGAGTGCAAGAGCACCTCAGTCCAGCCTCTTAATTTCCCATTGGGCAGATCAAGGCTCGGGGAAGAGCAATGATTTGCCTGAGAGGGTACTAGAAAGCCACAGGAAGCCAAGCCTGGATGCAAGGTTTTCATTCACTCACTCATTCATTCACTGAGAAAATATCTACCAGTACCTTCAGTATATAAGTCCTTTTCTAGATGTCAGAGTTCTCACCCCTCTGAGACTTCCCAGGCTGACCCCTTCTCGTAACCATGATACCCAGGCAGGAGGCTGGACCTGCAGTGGGTGAAGAGGGGACCCCGGGTGGAGTTCTGACTGAGCCTTCAGGAGAAAGCAAGATACACACCAATCCCAGAGGCAGCTGACTTGGGCCTGGGGTTCTCGTGGCAGGAAGTGGTGAGGGCCCTAAGTTACCCCTCAATCCACTCTGTCCCCTCAGCGCCCAAACCCCAGACCCAGTCTCCACCAGGCACCAGCCCATCAGGAATCATGACTCTGTCTGCTCGGCTCTGGGGCGCCCGAGACCCAGTGCACAGTGTCAGCAGCTCTAATGACCCCATGTGCAGGGCTGGGCTGAGTGTTGTGTGGGCCCTGGGGGCCCGTGGCCAGCAGTCAGCCCCACGCCACATGTGGCCGACTCAGCAACCGGCTCCTGCGTCCCTCCCTGCCCCCCGCTGGCACTCTCCCATCTCAGCCAACACCGCTGCCTCCACAGGGGCCCAAGCAGAGGCAGGCACCCTCTTTGGCCTTCGCCTCCCTCACCCTAAACACCCTGCAGTCGCTTCATCCGACCCCTCAGCTCTACCTCCCCAACTTCTCCTGGGCCCATCCCCCACTCTGCTCTCACCCCTCCCCCACCCTGGTGCCACACTCTACCCCCTCTCAGCAGAGGTCAGAAGAGCCTCCTGGTCTACCAGACACAATCTCACAGCAGCCAGCGTCTGAAACAGGCACCTTCCCCTGAATAGTCTGCTCCGGCTCCCTGTAGCCAGGGTGATGGAGGGTGGGTGGGCAGAGAGGCCCAGATCCTGAAGCTTACTGTCCGGGTTCCGGGCTAAGCCATTCCTTAGAT